ACTCAGCCAAGCACATTGCATAAGAAAGGGTCCACTAATACACCTTCAGTACTCCTTTGGTTAAGGCCACTGATAAAATTGGCTGTAAGAGGAATTAAAATTTAGCTATAGAAGAGACAGTGGAGATCTTGACATGGCTGAATTGTCTCCTTCCTTTAGGTTTTTTTTTTTTTTAATTAAAAAATTACCCATTTCTTATTTTCTACACTTCCATCTTTCTCTTACTTTCCTGAGTTGTGATCTATTGTTGTTCATAATTTATACATAACTTTCCCCTTTTCTTTTAGTATATGTATAAAGCTGCAAGACTGGTGGGAATTTTAAAATCTGTACAGAGAAACTACAAAAGAAGGTCTGCTGCCAGAGGGAATATACTATTTTATACTATTTTATAAAATATAAAACAACAAAAATTATATATTTTTGTTGTTTTATATTTTTTTACAGATGTATATTTTTCATGCAAAAGAATCCTTAGAACATCTTACCTTGTATTCTAAATAGGGAGCTTTTTGGTCTTCATCCCACAGGATCCCAGAAATAGAACTCCTCTCCCATTTCATGATGTTTCTATAGGGGACTTGACTTATTTTTGCATGATTGCATGGGGCCTCTTGGAAAACTTTCTTTGCAAAGAAGCAAACATGAATCTGAAAAAAGGGTAACTTCCATTATGTCGTTGTGGTAAACGTCAAAAAAAGTTATGTTATTCATACACAGACTTGTTTTTTCAAATAAGGGCCCATTGAACCCTTCTCTTTACAAATTCTCATTTGTCTCACATAGGAGAAAATCTGAGTTTCCAAACTGAGGTGATATGCAAGTGCACATTATTTATAGGAAGACAGGTGTTTTGAAAAATAATCATTATCTAAGGCAAGAAATTCTTCAGGCTTTTCAGTGTTGCCTCACTTTACTCAGAAATGGGTTTTACTGATTCCAAAAATCACATGCTTCAGACGGCAACCTAAGCAGAGTTTCAAATCCTGCTGAGGTTCCTTCAATTGCTTTCGCCTTCATCAGGCAGTATTTGAATCATTTGTATAGGCACATTTGTGTAGCCTGCATTTGAATATAGCCAGCATCACTGGAATCTTTTTCTCTACTTTCTCCAGAAGAAAACGCATGTCACCTTAGACCAATGTTTTTCAAACTTGGCAACTTCAAGATGTGTGGACTTCAACTCCCAGAATT